TTGTACAAAGCTGCATACTCAGTGCTTGCCAGAATATACACACACAAGCACCACACACACATAGCCGCGCTAACGCAAGTATTCAAGTGTCCAGAGTTTCGGCAGTGCCGCTCATCCTACCACTCGCATATGTCAGTGCGCAGTGACTCTTAACACTCCCACTCACTGCCTGAGCTCTTTCATTCCAAGCTTATCCAGATTCAAAACAAATTTTGCACTCGATGGTTTTGTGAGAATATCCGCGATTTCATACTCCACCAGTCCCAGCGTCCCCTGAGCCTCCAGCAGAAACTCCATCCCCACAGAAGGAGGAAATCAGAGAATTCAGAGCTCCCCAGAAGTGCGTGAAGGAGGAAATTCCATTCTCTGACGAGGAGGACGAAAATCCCCCAGAGAACGACTACAAAAGCACTTTGAACATTGAGGAGAACCTCCCCAACAGTGAATTGTAGGAGAGCTGGCCATCGGACGTCTACCGGGTGACTGGGCAGTTTGCAAGCATAAACACGTACCCAGTTGTAGACTTGCGATCATTCACATCCCGTGCAAAATCTGCATCCGTGTATCCCAGCAAATCCAAACTAGTTCCGCCATAAACGAGGCCAAGCCCTGGACTCTTCCGCAGATACTTCAGAATTTTCTTAACTGCAGTAATATGGTCTGAACTAGGATTCTCAAGAAAACGATTGACCCGTCCCACAGCAAAAGCAATATCAGGTCTTGTTGAGATAGCTGCAAACATCAACGAGCCGACGCACTCACGGTAGGGGAATCTACTGCATCCAAGACCGTCATTTTTCGACAGAAAAACCGTTTGATCCGCTGGTACTGACAACTTCTTTGCCTCACCCATGCAAAAACGCTCCAGAAGTTTTTGTATATAACCTCGTTGTCCAATGTAGATAGATTTATCTTGGACATTCCTCACAATCTTCAGACCAACATAGTACTTCCCATCTCCATATGTCATTCAAAAATTCTCCGACAAATACTCCAGAATTGATTCTCCGACTTTCAGGCCAGATGATAACAGCAATCCATCATCCACATACGGAAGTAAATGGACTACTTCGTCATCTACTCTACGTATGAACATTCATCAGCTAGACTTTGGATGAACTGGAAACTTCGTAAAACAAGCAGGGGTTCGAGCCTTTTTGGCCGAAGCCATCCGACCGTTACTTTATGTGTTATAAATCTTTTTCGTCCCTTATGTGTGGAAAGTTCGACTTTGTTCCCGCGTCTCCGGGAAGAAAGTTGCGCTTTATTCCCTAGAAATCATGAATTACACCTGTCAATTGTTTTTCGTGTCACTCGTTAACCTGTATCATCGAACTAGAAATCCCATAGAAATACAAAAAACGAAATTGGATCTGATATTCTCAGTGTTTTTAAATGTGCGATATTGAGTAATAGAATATTAGGATCATTCTCAATTCCCATTGGTTGAAATTCGTGACAACGAGAAAATGAGTTCTTCAGAAGATTCAGATAGTCATGACGAATTCGATGTCGAAGAATTTGATGTTAAGAATGCAGCAGCAGGAATCGTGGAGGGTTCAATTCCTGACAAATCCGCGGAGAAATACCGAACGTGCTATGAAGATTTCCAGAATTGGAGAAAAACGAAGAAAATTGGATCTCTTGAAGAGGGAGTTTTCCTTGTCTATTTCAATGAATCATCTCAAATTTACAAGCCATCGACGCTCTGGAGTCGTTGGTCGATGTTGAAGAGTACGATGGACCTTCACCACGGCATCGACCTCAATTCATTTAAGCGATTGAAAGCATTCATGAAAAAATAAGGCAAAGGATTCAAGAGTAAGAAATCCAAAGTGTTCACTGCCCCTCAAGTAACTCAATTCTTGGATCAAGCTCCGGATGATATCTATTTAGCAATGAAAGTAAGTGTAAAATAAATTGAAGATTAGTAAATAGAGATGAATAATGCGAAATCCAACGATTTTTCTCTAATTTTTTTCTGAGTTTCTTCATTTTTTTCTCCTTCACATTGAACTCTAAAGAAAATTTGGCAATGAAAAATGAATAATATAATATAAAATTTATTTCAAAGGTGGCCTTGATATTTGGGATTTCTGGTGCCATGAGATCCGGTGAATTCTGTCCCTTGACCACGAATGACGTCGAGGACACTGGCTCGAGACTTATCGTAACTGTTCGTGACACAAAAAATTACTACCCTCGATCATTCGTCATTGAAAATCAGTGCTATGGAACAGTCAAGAAATACATGAGTCTACGACTTAAGGACCCGGGTACTAACAGATTTTTCCTAAGATTCCAAGGAGGAAAATGTACACGTTGATAGGAAAGAACAAAATCACTGAAATTCGAAGAACCATTGCATTATTCCTGAATTTGGAGGAACCTCACAGATATACTGGACACTGTTCTCGCCGCACCTCAGCAACAATCCTAGCTGACTCTGGAGCAGACGTCAGAACCCTAATGAGACACGGTGGATGGCGTTCTGAAGAAGTGGCACGTGGCTATGTTGAAGATTCCATCGAAAGCAAGAGTCGTATTTTCCAACGCATCCACAATTTTGCTGAATCAACAACGTCGATTCCATCAAGCAATATCCAAGAAGATGCAGGGCCAATCATCCATCATACCTCAGGATTTCCTCCCCAACAAGTATGCGTTTTGAACGATCCACCTGTAGTTCTAGGAACTCCGATTCAATATGCCGTGAATGGAAAACAGCAATGTTTAAAGTCAAACTCTATGCTCATACACATTCCAACCAATGAGGAGCAGAACCTGAACACCGATCCTGAGTCAAGTCTTCCAGCTTACGACGGTCAAGACCTTGATGATATTCCAGGAGACTTATTTGATTCGGACTTTGAGGAACAACTACCACAACCACCATCACCACCACCATTACCGCCACCAAAAAAGATGAAGAAAGGAGGAACATTGGAGAAGAAGACGTCAAACAATCCGCTCATACCCATCTTGAACACACTGGCTCTACCATGCCACATTGAAACTGCCTCTGAGTCAAACCGACACTCGAAAAGTCCTTTCAGAAAATCTGTAGCTTACAGAAGCCAAGACCCACGCGTAACATCAGCAGCGAATGTTGACAATATTCCAGAACCCAGATCCAATCTGAAATTTGAGGAACCACCACAGAAAAGGAGGAAAACTGGTACTGCATCACCAAAATCGAATGAAAAAAATGTAGACCCAGAAATGGAGGAATTGTTTGGAGGAATTCCGAAAGAATTCCGCCTCTTGAAGTTGAAGAGATGCAGAATTACCAATCTCACAATCAATTGTAATATTTTCAAAAAAAATGATTGAATATGACAATTAACTACGGAGAATTCTATTCTATTTTCACCGAACGAATATTTTTCTGTATTTCCATTGAGCTGTCGCTTATGGAGCTATTTCTCCAGTTTTGGAATTGTAATTCATTTATGTATTAATTAATTATTGGGTTAATAAATCGATAATTTAAGAAAAAAATGTTGGTGGGATGTTTTTCGGAATTGGCGTGTGTGAGAAACTTTTTTTTTCGTTCATGTGAAAGTGACAGAACAGAATCGCATCACATACGTCATTTATTCATGATTTCGTCATGGATGGAATAGTGCTCATAAACTAGAATCTATTCGCTATTCAGAGGATTTCGTGGTATCCGAGAATTTCGTGGAGCACCTAAGATGTTTACTTCAAGACAAATTGATGAGTTTTTGACTATAGCACCAGACGAGATCTATTTAGGGATGAAAGTGAGTAAGAATGAAATAAATTGACGGAGAACCGACAATTAGTGAATACACATTTTTTCTTATTAATAAATTATTTGTTGATGAACTCATAAGTATTTGAAAATTCCACAAACCTAGAAAAATGTATGATAAGAGTTAATGTTCATATCCTATTTACAGGTTGTCTTGATTATCGGAGCTTCTGGTTGGATGCGAGTGAGAGACTTATTTGATCTCAACGCAAATGACGTCGAGTTCACTAATGGAACACTCAGAGTATCCGTACTTCCGAAGAAAAATAACTATGATCATTCATTCACTGTTAAAAACGAGTATCACCACATTGTGCAGGAATATATCAGTCTCCGACCAGCAGAGCCGGTCGATGGCAAATTCTTTTTGAAATTTGACTGTGGACGATGTCTACGTTGAGCAATGGGAATGAAGACAATCAAGAACGTGCCAAGAGAGATCGCGTTGTTTTTGGGGTTACCAAATCCCGAGGAATCCATGAGACGTCGTTTTCGCATACTTGCTGACGACCTTCCAGCAATGCCCATTCCAGCAAATCAGTGATGACTAAATCTTTTCGTATTTCTCCCCAAATTTTGTTTTCCAATGTTTGCGTTGTGCTTATATGAAAAACGAATAAAACTGTCTTTTTGAATGCAATATTTTTGATGAATTAATGCCAAAGAGGTTATTATTATACTTTGAATTTGCTAATTTATTTATAATTCATTTATTTATTATTCATCTCATTTCTCCCTCATTTTGATTTGTTCATTTGTGTGTTTATTGATACTGAATGGATCTCATGCTCAATTTCATCATGACGTTTCCTCTAACTTCTCACTGGATTTTTCTTTCATTATTAATTTTGTCGAACTTCCCACCAAAAGGGACGAAAAATAGTATGTGCACCTCGGGAGGTAAGGAGGACATCCTGAGGCGAAGCCTCGGGCGAAAATCACACGCGGGTCAGAATGCCCTCCTTTCCTCCCTCGGTGCAGAATGTACTATTTCTTTCTTTCATTTCTACCCATTCCATTGGTAGTAAGCTTCTGAAGGGGATAGAAGGTATTCGGATAAAAGAAACAAATATTTTGAAAAACAAAATTGAAATCGGTTGCGTAGTTTTTAAGTTATCGCACATAAAAGGTTTTCAGAGAAAGTCGAATATCTCGGGAACTACCTATGCGTTTGAGCTTATTTTCAACAGAAAGGATTGTTATCATAAGAGGAAGATTCTATCTACATTTCAAGGTGATATCTCAATTTTTGCACAAGCTAGAGTGATTACAAGGATTTTTAGGAAAAAACAGAAAAACTGAAATATCTCGAAAAAATTGTATGAACGGCCGTATATATTTTGATTGATTCTGATAGAAGACTTTAAAGCAAATATTTGGAAAGAAAAAAATTGACATCGGTTGCGTAGTTTTTAAGATATTGCACATAAAACGTTTTCAGCAAAAGGCAAATATCTCGGAAACTATTTATACGATTAAGCTAATTTTTGATAGAAAGAATTATTATCAAGAAAGAAAGATGCTCTCCAAATTTCAAGTTGATATCTTAATTTTTGTACAAGCTAGAGTGATTACAAGGATTTTTATGAAAAAACAGAAAAACGGAAATATCTCGAAAACTTTGTATCAAGGCGTATATGTTTTGAATGATTCGGATAGAAGGCATCGAGACGAATATTTTGAAAAAAAAATTGAAATCGGTTGACTAGCTTCGAAGATATTAGCGAAAAACCATTTAAAAACGAATAGCTTTTTCTCAAAAACTATTTGATCAATCGGGCTGAACTTTTGCACAGAGTTAGTCATTGTTAAGGTCTATAATCTGACAAAATTTCAGATTTTTTGGGATAAGTTTAGCCAATTAATTACTCATTTTTCCAAAAATTGTCCATCGGAAAGGTGGCGATGGACATTGACACCGACAGACATGGTCGCCAAACTTCGTATTTTTACGTTTCAGACCATTCTACATCATTTCCAATCAAAATGAGAGAATGTGAAAACAGCACGATTACAATGCTTCCATTCGGAAGCGAAACTGACGAATTTCTGATTCCAGGTACGTGGAGCCTGTTTGAGTGCATATAAGCTTTTCTTCAGTAGACAAACAACATCAATATTATCAGGTTTACAACCCTTCGGCAATTCCATATAAATTTCCTCCTCCAAATCAGCATTTAGAAAGGCTGTTTTGATATTGAACTCCAGAATCTCAAGCGCTTTAATCGCAGCAACAGCCAGCATGACTCTGATTGTGTTACGGCGAACCACAGGAGTGAAAGTCTCCTTGTAATAAATTCCTGCACACTGAGAAAAACCTCTCACGACCAATCTTGCATTATAACGCTGCTGAGTACTGTCAGGTGCAGTTTTGATCCGATAAACCCACTTACAGCTTATGACCTCTCGACCCTCTGGTTTCTCAAACAACTCCCAAGTCTTATTCGCTTCTAGAGCATCCAACTCCTCCTGAATAGCTGCCTTCCACTTCGCACCATCTAGTCTTGACAATGCCTCCTCATAAGTACTAGACTCACCAACAGCTGCAGAGAATTCTTCCAAAACACATGCACTAAATGGAAACCTATCAGGTGGAGACAAAACTTGCCTCAAGCTATACGTCGTATTCTGCCTGATACCTCCATGCTCACCAGGTGTTGGAAGATCTCCATCAGTCTGAACTTCTTCCGCATTCACCTCTGGAATTAGAAGCTTCTCCTTTTCTTTCTTCTCCTCAGACTGAACCTTTTCTACATTCACCTTTGGAATAACCAACTCTTTTTTTTTCGTCTTGTCCTCAGCTTTCTCCTCTTCTTCATCAAAAACATACAGACCCACTGGAACATCTGGCTTCACATTCTCAACCTTCTCCTCGTTGAAGACAACATCACAAGTGATAACAAACTTCCCAGTACTCGGATCGAACATCCGATAATTCCTTGAAGTTGACTTAAACCTAACCAAAAACATTTTTTCAGCTTTTGGATCTAACTTTTTCCTCCTCCGTTTTGGAACATGCACAAAACCAGGAGTCCCGAAGGTCTTAACATGTCCCAAAGCTGGCTTACTCAGGAACCACTGTTCATAAGGTGCCGTCTTCGGATTTCTGAAACTTGGCATCCGATTTAAAATATAAACAGTTGTCCTCGCAGCCTCACCCCATAAGCTAGCTCAACAATTGGCACCCAAAAGCATAGTACGAGCCGACTCTATCATGGTGCGATTTTCTCTTTCTATTCTTCCATTTTGCTCTGGGGTATATGCAGCAGACAATTCATGTATAATTCCTTTTTCTCTCTCAAGAAATTACTTACTTCTGAATTAATGAACTCTAAACCCCTATCAGTTCTACGAGCCCGAGGTGTAACCCCTGTAACAGTGTCAATCAGATTAATTCATCCCTTAATTTTCTCAAATGTCTCAGATTTAGATGCAAGAAGATACAAATATCTGAACCCAGTCGCTTCAACAAAAGAATCCATTTATATCCTCCCACTGCTATCGTACTCATTGGCCCATTCAGATCTGCATGAATGTACTCTCCTCTCTGAGAAGACCGAGGATTCCCTGTTGGATGAGAAGTTTGATGAGACTTCCCAACAGCACATTCTTCACAGAAAAAATCCTCCATCTCTCCACAAACTACACCATCAGCGAGTTCATTCTTGATTACATTTTTTATGGCTGCAACATTCACATGCCCCAAAAGTCTATGCCACTACTGCAAACTAACAACCCGAGCTGAGTGCGCCTCTTCAAGTTTTTTAACCTTGAAAAACATCCTTTATTGTTTCATAGTATCTCTGACTCCTACTGCAACCACACGGTCTTGATAGTCCAGCAAGGTACATTGTTGACTCTCTGTTTTCATATAAAACCCTTTATCGGTAACTGCTCCTATTGAAAACAAATTCCTATCTAGACCTGGAACATATTGAACATTTTCAATACTATGTGTCAACCACTCTCCATTTACCCAAGCCTCAATTCTAATTTTCCCATGTCCTTTTATTGACAACCTCTCACCATTAGCAACAACTGCCGATGAACCTGTATCTTGAACCGTCAACTCATTAAACCAATCTCTTCTACCTGTCATGTGAGCTGTAGCCGCAGAATCACTCAACCAGACCTCTGTATATGATGCCAACCTAACATCTTCAATCGAGGCCACAAAAGTACACTCACTCGTCTTCTGATGCTGACCAAAACGACTCTTCCGATTCTTTGAACTTCTAGAACACTCGGTGGCCCAGTGTCCTACCTCTCCACAGCAATTGCACTTCATCGTCTTCTTCAAAGCAGCGACCAACTTATAATCACTCTTACCGTTAGAAACGCGACCAGTTTCTCTCCTATGGCCTGCCACACTCCCCCTCGTAGCAAAAGCCGCCTCAACATTCTCAGTCTGATCTGCCTTATTCAACTGATCCTTTTCCAACCTTAACTCTCCTAGCAATGTCTTCAAACTCTTATTAGACTTGTTATACCAAACTGTCTTGTAATTTTTAAACATTGGAGTAAGAGTGCTAATAATTCGAATCATCTGAAGATTATCTGAAAGTACCTCCTCTTGACTTTCCAACTCTGCCGCTATTTTAGGAACCTTTTTAACATACGCAGTCACACTTTCGCCTTCTACCATTTTTAACGCGAAAAACTCTTCATAAAGTGTCATACCACTCACTGCACTCTTCTTCTCGTGCAAATCAAACAGCGCATCCCATAATTCCCTGAACGTTTTACACTCCACAAACTGCTCCACAATATCTGGCTCCATAGCCCCTATGATCAGCGTCATAGCTCTCCCATCTCGTTTTTGCCACAAATCTCGAGCATCAGTAGTCGCACTAGCTGCAGGCTGCACTTCAGTCCTATTAACATAATTTTTTAATCCATGACCTCTCAAAGCAGCTTCCATTTGAAATTTCCACAAGCGAAAATTTTTGCCATTAAACCGATGTAAAGCTGCATGATTCTGACTGTTCTCCTCTTTGAATATATCCATAACGGCTTCACTCCGCGTGCTCACGCTCCACGACAAAAACCAAAAAAAAATAGAGATTTCATTCTACAAATCTCAAACCAAACTACAACTTCGTACTCTTCACTTCACCTGGGCCCATAGCCTGTTAAATAATGGGTAAAAACCAGTGAATAATATGAACAAACGATATATATTTACTGATGAAAAATATTGTACAAAGCTGCACACTCAGTGCTTGGCAGAATATACACACACAAGCGCCACACACACATAGACGCGCTAACGCAAATATTCAAGTGTCCAGAGTTTCGGCAGTACCGCTCATTCTACCACTCGCATATTTCAGTGCGCAGCGACTCTCAACAATAATGTGACGCCGAGAGTCGCGGAATGTTTTCAAATAGGGAAATGTACTATCACGAATTTGGAGATTCGAAGGAAGAAAAGACAAAGACACTCAGCGATAATCAAAAATGGAGTGGGAAGGCCATCTATTAAAATTGATGAATTCTTGAGAGATGTCGTTCGCCGAAAAGTCCTCGATTTTACGTGGACATCAATATCCAACTGCCAAGGAACTCCATCAAAAATTATGTGAGCATGTAAATGATTTTCCGAACATGAGTTAATCAACTCTGTTTAGATTGTTGAAAAATATGAATTTTCGATATCGAAACATTTCAAGAAAGCCAGTTTTGATGGAGGATCGAACAATTCTAAGCCAGAGATCGGCATTTTTAAAGATGCTGGAAGGATACAGGACAAATAATTGGAAAATTTTCTATGTAGATGAGACATGGTGTGGAGCCAATCACTCGCGATAAACTGGATGGGTAAAAAAAATCGTTCCTGGAGAAAACGATGAGCCCGATGATTTTGATCAATATAGGAGTGGGGTACAATTCATTGATGATTATAGAGGAGGATTCAAGTTGCCATCAGGTACAGAAAAAAGAGTAATTATTCTTCACATTGGGGGGCCAGGACGGTTTTTTGAAGAGGTGCAAAAAATGTTTTATTGGAAAGACGGGCTCCGCAGACTCCTACGATGAAATGAATGCACAACATTATGAAGAATGGTTCTGGGATGTGTTGAAGGATATGCCGAACTATTCGGTTATTATGATTGAGCAAGCTCCGTACCACACGAAAAGAGATCCACAATTTCTCAATCCAAGATCAAGTTGGCGAAAAGATCGGATTATCGAATGGATGGTTGCACGTGGAGTACCATTACCATCGTTCGCATCAACTTTTCATGACCTGACCGAAGTTAATTAATTGACACACTGCAGACCACACCTGTATCCAAAGAAATACCTGCTTGACAGGATAATCGAAGAGGAGACACCTAGAAAAGTAAAATTATTATAGTTGCCTGTTGCCCATTGTGAATTTAATAATGCCATTGAGTACGTCTGGGCAGAAATTAAAAATTCAGTGGCTAAGGAAAATACGACCTTCAAAATTAAAGATGTAGAAAACTTGTGATCTGATAAGACTGATGGTATATCGCCAGAATTATGGATGAAATATATATGCCATGTACAAAATACTGAAGAGCTTCATTGGAGTAAAGAACGTCATTTGTCTGACTCCATGCAATCTTGATTATTAATATGGACGATAAAAGTTCAGACAGTGACTTCTAAAGCGATTCACTTGAGGAGAATTCAATGACACATTGCAGTTGCCAAAATTAAGTACCTAATCATATCCAATTATAGCTATGTCAGTTTTCATATTGAGAATTGTAAAATATTAGGAATTGTAATATATTGCATTTGTTGGTAACCACTCGGTATATCTGCAAATTGTTTACTTCCGTTATATTCCCGTATTTTCAGTTTATTTTTCTTAAACAACTATATCGATTATCAATTAGCAATACTGCAAAGAATGCGTGACATTTTTCCACGTTTATTTTACTTTTATAAATAAAGGAAGCCATTTGCTTTATAAATAAATTTATAGAGTTATTTTACTTTTATCAATAAAGAAGTCTTTCCAACTTCCTTTCCTCGTGTCCTATATATTTTTTTCAGTTCTACTGGTACGGATTTCTCTACGGCATAGTGTACATTCGTTTCGAGAGAGAAGATACAGGGTCCTCTCACCAAAAAAAAACGGGTACTGGGGATTCCTCATGATCACAGTGATAAATACTCCCCACCGGGCGGTCCCTTTCATTTTCCGGTAAGAGTAGAAAAAATGATAACAATTTCCCTGATTTTTCGTCAATACCGACATCCATTGAATTTTAATCATTAAATTTTTCCCTATGTATACATGCAGGCCCCATTTGCCTATTTGTAATAGATCGTGTTATAGCGGACTTTATTCCAGAATTTACCCCTAAATTACCGAAATCCCGTGAATAATACGTGTTTTTAACCTTTTTCCCAATACTCCCAATATCACTGAATATCCCAGCACTCGAAATACTTGCACGTAATACTCCAAAGGTACTCACAAGGATTCCGGGTGATAAGAGTACGCAATTCCGATGGATGAGATTTTCGCTTTATTTTTCCTATCAGGAATGTCGGGCATGTCTGTGACCCTCCGAGATAGTCACTTTTCACGACTTTAATTGTGAAACTTGACTTAAAATGCTAATTATTAAAGTAGATTTAGAGTGTCTCCACGTGTGTAGCTAACGTGGCGAATGATCAATCCAGAGCAGGGTTGGGTCGTCCACTGAAAATCGCGGTTTTCTACGGTATATAGTAGAATACTGGTAATTTACCTCTAAAGGGTAAAAAAAGGTAAATAACTGGGAGAAAACCCCTGAACTTGGATATCAGTGCAGTACCCTTTCTGACTGAATTTTGCCAGGGTTATACCTTGCGAGGGTCATAAGTCACAAGGGTAAATACTCGCGAGGGTCAAATATCGTACGGGTCATATTTCGCAAGGGTCCTGTTTTATGAGGGTTAAACGTCGCAACGGGCCAACCTTGCAAGATTCACACGTCGCGAGAGTTATACCTTGCGAGGATCATGTCTCCCGTTAGACCCTTAAAGATTTTCCTTCCTGCTCATTTTGTTCGGCTATTATAATCGTTGAAACCTTGTGATTGTCCTTCCTGCCTCCCCGGTTGTCGCTTGTTGTCGTTTTATCTTTGAGATTGCCCTACCTACATCTATTGACTGTTCCGATGTTTGACCCTTGCGAGGTATGACCCTTGCGATATTTCATCCTCGCGCGGTATAATCATTGCGATGTTTGACCCTTGCGAGGCATGACCCTTACAAGACTTGCTCATGACACGAGAGCTCAACCCCTCTGTCAACGGGGTTGTTTTTGCGCCAGAACAACTGTGTTGTCTTCAATTAAATACACATTAAATACACATTAAATACACTCCTTGGTAAATTACTTGCTTTTTTATATGTAGAAAATTTGGTAGAACACCGGTGGTATTTTACTTGCCCAACCCTGATCCAGAGTGGCCCCAAGATGGTGGATTATTCGGGGTCAGGCTGGCTTCGTCCTTCTCGAAATTCCCCAAATCCTCCTGACCAATGAGAGTCTGCCACGCCGACACAATTTCCCAGATATAGGGCCGGCTTTGCTCCACAGCGATAACTCCGTTTCTTGTGGGTCAATAACCGCGTAATCTGGGTTATCGACAGTCATGTTGTCATGTTCAGACTTTGACAGATGATTCTGGTGTTTATGGATATTTATCATCACTCCTGCATCAGTTTTCTTCTTACTTTAATTAGAAGAGCTTGATTAGTGGCACTCAGAATATTTCAGTATATCCAAATGGTTCCTGGTCTGGTATTCTCAGCTTATGGTAAAATTCAGCTCATAGCCTCCAGCTGTCATCTGGGCTCTCAGTGGTGTGTTAAAATCATCCTGTCCGGGTTCTTCAACTTTGGCTTCCTCTACTATCACTCCCCAGGAGTTCATAGTGGACCGCATCCCCAGTGTAATCATGGGACTCAGGTGTTGGTGATATGTTGGAACATTTGGCTGTCCAATCTCTCCAGTTCATCATGCCTGCGAGATTTCCGCACACTCGTCAGAGGACAATGAGATGTCAGTCCTTCCTGGTTGTTGATCCATCCAGTTGTCCGGGCTCCAAGGCGTCTTCTTCGGGTTTACATTGCTCTCGCCTTAACTACTTTATTCTCGAATCTAGAGGGAGGAAGGGAGAGGGTCCCACTGATCTTGGCTTATCTAGGTATTATGCTTTGATTATATTTCATACGGATTTTTTGTTCATTTAAGTTGACGAGGAGCGTCCTCGTCACAGCCTAATTACTGAATTTTGTAAACAAGTATTCCGTGCGCCAATCACAAAAAACTCCATTTATTTATAAACCTCGATTCCCTATTTTTTAAATTGTATTTCATTCCGATTGGTGCACGCTTTATTTTATTATTGAATTTTGAATTTAATGGTGTTCGGTGATTTTGAGAATTTTACCATTTTTTTTTCATTAAAACTAGAAGACCTGTAGGAATTTTATTAACGGATTTAGAATCAGTGGAATTTAATTCTTTTAATACGGTTAATTTTATCTCTAGGAGAGCCAGGGTCAAAATTTTGTCGGACTGTGTTATTATTCCATATCTAATTTTGTTCGGTCTAAATTATGTTTGTTGGCGCCAAATATTAGGTGTATTACCTAATTCTCGGCTTTTTTCGACAATTTTGACATTTATTTATAGAAAATTAAAGATTAGATTAGATTAAAGATCTCATCTTGAAAACAATCGCCTTCACTTTGCACGCATTCCTCCCATCTATCGGGCAATTGTCGGATTCCGGCTCGGAAAAAAGATGGTGGCTTTAACTGGATGAAGTCATCAATGCTCTGCCGGAGTTTTTCAGGAGATTGAACCTGGGTATCCACCAGATGATATTATAGCACCTGAAAAGGGTAATAGTCAGAAGGCAAAAGGTCTGGAGAATGCACCGCATGTGGGAGAATTTCCCAGCCCAACATTGAGATAACTTTCATGGTTTCTATTACTGTGTGTGGCCGCGCGTTGTCCTGCAGCAA